AGGAAATAATTTACTACAATATAGTTAGATATTGCGAAAATGGACAAGTATTCATTAAACTATGATCGAATTTTGAGTTACACACTTTTATCAATTAAAATAAGACTATTTTTTTTGTTTATTTTTTTTAGTATTGTCTAGTGCAAATAAAATTGTGTTTAGCCCATCTCATAATTTTCAAAATAGTAATCACCTAATTATCACTCTTATTAAGTTTCATTAATTTCTGACTATTTGCTGCACTAAATAAAAGAGATGTTAGTATATTCATAATTGTAATTATGTTATGAACGACTAGTGTAATATTATTTAACCTATAATTTGTTGAATAATTTCTCTCTTAATTGGACAAAAAAGGCAACAAATAATAATATAATTTAACTACTATAGAGCTAGCACAAAATATTTTTGAATTCTTTAAGTAAAAGTTAAATATAGAAGAACATGAGACCTTTTATTATTTTTTATAATTTATCAAAAAAGATCAGTCAAGGAATTTCAAACCCTAGAGCCTAGGAGATGTAATTTAATAGTATTATAAGTAATAATAAAAAATAAAAAGAACCTAATAAAATTATTATATTTTTGATCAATTTTCCTTTGTGTGCTGTCAAATCAAGTGATATATATAATTACTATAATTTTGCTAAAACTATTTGAGCCCTTGATAGAATATGGTCGGTATAATGTCTTTTAATTGACATTTTATAGTGACCTAATTATGATTTTACTTGCTCATAATTAAAATTGATTCTAGGTTGCTTAATTTTATATTAATTTTAGGTTGAAAATAACATATGTATGTCTACACAATATTAATTCCAAGTACATATGTGGTAATGCTCGATTATTAAAATATCGTACAATTTAATATAATTAATAATGTTGATTAATATGAAAAAAATCTCGTTCATCTGGCTATATCGTAATTACCAAGCATTTATTCATTTGTATAGATATTTCATAGGTTGTAGGCACAAATGAAGAAAAAAAAAACTTTCCAAAGCTTGATTAGCATCTTTTAATTATAAGCAACTTTATTTAATTAATACTAGTTGTCACCACTATTATTAATGAAATGACAAGCTATCTCCTTTACTAAAAAGTTTGTGAAAATTATATATAGAAAATATGCCCAAAAAAACCCTTTTCTTTGACTAGCTAACACATTGATACCATTTTCAATTCATTTCTTATTAGGTTAAAGAAAAGTTGTGACTCAATTATTTATTTCTATAAATGATGATAGAAAGAATATAGTTCTTCTAAGCAGCGATAAAATTATCTTTGTGTAACTACAAATTATGAGTTCAATAATGAGTCGTGAAAAGAGCGTTAAAATTTATACTACGATCGACTGTCTATATCGCACACCTCTAAAATTTGATCTTTTATCTGATAAATATTTTGTGCTCAAATTGTCTGTTTTTCTTCTTTTGACACCTATCAAAAATGAAATTAAGATAAAATTGTTATGAACCCCTAAAAGAAGCAATAAGCATCTAAAAAGGAATAACAAAAAAAAAGGGATTAATGCAAAGACCGAATCTTATATATTTTTTCATAGCTATGTGTTTGTCATTATTGATCTTTATATATCACAGTATTTTAGTTATGAATTGTTTATTCTACTATTTCTTTTATTTTCTAACAAATTCATTATGCTTTTAAAAGATTTCTTTTTATTTTTATTTTGTCTCAACAAATTAAATTTAATTTAAGATCAAAAAGAAGTCTGCACTGTAAAATAATTTAAAATGTTTCAAAACAATATATAACATTGGTGCTCTATCCAATTAATTGGTCTTCAAATCATTTGCATATTTGACCTTATGATATATTAGGAATCTTTTTTTATAATAGATTCTTTCTTTTAACGGGTGATATTTTTTTATATTTTTCTTTTAAATGAAACATCATATATCGATAGATAGAACTTATAAAAGAAAAATCAAGTCAATAAAAGATATTGATTACAACTTTTGAATTTATATGTTGAAAGTAGAGTAATTTTTAACTAGAAAACCATGTAATTGACCATATTTATCGTGTGAAATATTGTATATTAATGAATTTAGTGCAAATGAGAGACTTTTGGTTTGAGTTTTTCACGTGATATTCGATAAATACTTTAGCACATTTTCAATTAATATGAATTCACACCGTATGAGACCTATTAAAGAAAAAAAACATTTTCTATATTATTTTTTCTATTTTAATTAAGACTCAAACCTGAAATCTTGATTTGATCGTTGACCTAGAGAGACTTAATAATTTATTGCACCATATAAAATGAATGCATTTTTAGTCAACTTTATCTTGGTTACATTTAACACTTCCCATTTCTAAATTGCTAGCCATATTCTTCTTATGGTAATATTTTGAGTAACTTTAATTAATTATTGAGAGAAAAAATAGTGAAAAGAGAAAACCAACTACTAAGTTAATGGAATGAGCAAAATGCAAAAAGAATTAATATTTAAATTGATCAACAAACAATCCCAACAAAACAAAGATTCCAATAGGAATATCATCACTTTTGACCAACACACTCTTAATTTAATTTCTCATGAAAGAATAATTCCAATTTTATTAAATTAAAGATAATAGTACTAATTAAGTTTCAACTTCAATATACCCTATCATTGCAATTGCTATAGATTTGGAGTTCTATTGGACAAATAATAATTATTATTATTATAAGATACCTGAAATAATATATTTAATACTCAATGCTTTAATTAATTTATGGGTGGAATGAGAAGACAATGTATTAATTAAAAATGTTGTAAATTTAAAATACAAAAAAGTTGTTTTTGGACTGGCTTTTGCTTAATCCTGAAGAACGATTCTTTAATTCTTGTCAAAATTACAATCTATCTTTTTTACGAGGAAATTCGTAATTGTTATTTTATGGTACATACTGATAAATTCTATATTAAGGAGGTAAATTAACTATGAATCTCATATAACGAGCTTAATTTAAAAAATAAATAAAGATCACTTGCTCAATTAACTCGATCATCTTTTCCGATATGTCTCTCTTATTTATTAAATAAATTAATTTTATAATAAGCTCTGATTTTCAATGATAGACGATACAATCATAGCATATGTGCACGAACGACTCTAATTAACAATTAAGAGTGGGGATTTTTTTTTATATTTTCCAAAAAAATCATAAACTACAAACTATCCCATATGTCACCATGATGAAATTTCAAAAGTATATTTGTTAGTTTTTCTTTTTTCTTTTAATATGTATTCAATATTCATTTTCTAATTTTTATAAATTAATCAGTCACATACCCCATTTTGGGGATAAAACTTTCTATCAAAGATAAATCATTTTTCAAAAATTAAAATCGGAAACCATAAGGTGATATACACTTAATTTCACCTTTCGAATCGAACCTCTCCAAAATTAAAATCAAATTGAAGTATAGTATTTCTACGTGAGTTTTAACTTTTATAGGTTGATACCGTAAATAATTCTATTAGATAATTTAAAAGATAATCATAGGTGGTTTTTTAATAAAAATAGTACCCGAGAAAATAAGGCAAGATATGCGCTATATAACATGTTAACGTATATTGAGAATGTATATAAATAATAAACACGTGTATATACGGATAAAACATACCTTAACTAAACTCCGTTACACCCCACCCCACCCCACCCCACCCCACCTCCCACATACACATAACCTTTTTTCGTAATTTATACTTTTTTTACTTATGTGACATCTAAACGTCTCCCACGTGTTTCAACTATGTTGACTCAAAAAATATGCTATGTAAGTCAAAAGATGTATAAAATTATAAATATAATTGAGTTAGAGGAGAGAGGTAATAGAATTTTAGTTTATTTAAGTGTCTTTGAGATTTTAATTTTAATCTGAGGATACTTGCGTTTTATCTTTTTATATATTATAATATTTTTATCTTTTTGGAGGGTGGGGGTTAATTTCTATTGATATAGTATAGACTAAAAATATATGCTATGTAGTAGTTAGTGATGGCTTGCAGTTGACTAAACCACAATGTATATATATTTGGAATTATAATACAAAATAACACAATTATTCTTTATGATATATAATTATTTTAATATGTAAATATATGTCCACTTTGTCTTCCTTTACTGCATATTATTTGTTTATTCTTCTTGTCTCCACTATCTTTCTATTCTTCATGTGCTTCCCACTTTGAATTTCTAATGTGTTTTTTTGGGATTCAATTAATATTTATACTAAAATTTGATTAAATTTAAAATATATATTTTAAAATTTACTTTTAAAGTAATATTTTTAATAAATAAATATAAAGCTAAAATTTTTGATTAAACATGAAAGGATCTCAATTTTCGTATAGATATATAGTTTTATCATGCATGTATAGTTTCATTCATCGTTGCATATAATAGTATCAACTATATATTATTAAGTAATGTTTAAAATAAATAAATGTAAATAGATTTAATTTTGAGTTATACTATAAAATGACGATCTAAATAAAATTTATACTTTTTATTTAATTTAATTTGTCTGCCTTGTTTTTTATCGAAGTTTTATTTATTTTCATCGTGAAATAGTGGACTGCTCGTGACAGTAATTTTTTTTATCTTTTATGTATATACTAATAATATGTTAACTTTTTTTTTCTTTGTGAGGTATAGAAGCTAATTTCAAAAAAAAATATTGCTTATGTAATACTTGGATATTTTTCGTAAAAATTTTAATTTCGCTATTGAGATAGACAAATAAATCTCATGTGTATAAGTTAATATATTTATCTTCTTAGTATATTTATTTACTTTTTTATATTTTGATTTTTGATAAAAATCGTAACTGAAATAGGCATCTCATGCATTTTGCATGGTTTAATTTAGCCTACGTATATTCTTCATATTTTAATGATCATTTCCAAACATATGTGTAACTCATACTCAATACTATTATTAGACATAAATAAAAACAACCATATAATTACAGATTTAATTAATAGAAATCTTATACATTTTTTAAAAATAAAATAAAATAGAAGACAATAAGTTGTAGATGACCTCTTAATAGTAACTAATGAACTCCTAAACAAATAAGACAGAAAAACAATTTGTGCTATAGCTAGTCTACCCCCTCCATAGACATTTAAGTTGTAGCACTTGCAAGTGCACCTAATTAATTTATTCATAAATTAAAACCAAAGCTAATATCCTCCATTAATCATGGTTAATTAATCCAAACTTTAATGACTTAATTATAAAATTTAATCTCTAATTATGACCCAATTTAGTGTCTTGAATATTGTTGATGATATTGTGTCATTGATCCAAAGTTGTGATAAAATTGTTTTCTTCCTATTGAGCCTTGACGATCTTCTTCCTCTTCATGAACTCCCTCAATCTACAACCACAAAAATATACAAATAAAAAAAATTAAAATAAATAACTACAAATGTTCATCACTAATTAAGGGTTACTTCGCTCCTAATCAGGTGTTTGAAAAATATCTTTATATGAAAGCGTCGCGCTTTTCATTTAACAGACCTTTATGGAGTTTTAAAAAGTACATACATATATTCAACTCTTTTTTTTTATAAGACGTAATATAGTATTACTGAACATGCAAATTCATTATTCAATCCGCTATTAATATATAATAGCTCAAAATTGTAGTAGCAAGAATATAACTTTTTTTTGTTGATACAAAATAAAAGTGGGGTTCTTTTCTTTTTCTAATTTAAGAAAAAAGGTGTAAGAGAGAATAATTATATTTACCCAAATATCATCTTCATCTTCGTATCGATTAAACAATGTTGATGATGAAGTTTTCGGAATCTCAATACCAACTTCATCGTTACGAGCAAATCTTCCACGAACCCTTGGACGATTGTCTGCTAGTGTTTTTCGACATGCATACTGTTGTTTATCATGATTTAAATTTTTTTTTAATATAAATAATTAAAAAAAATTAAAAAAATTAATTAATTAATTACCTTAATTGTTTTGTTAAAATTTCTTTGAGTTCTTTTTGCTCTGTATCTATGAATTCTTTCTTTTCTTTCTTCTGCAGTATATCTTCCAACTTTGATATTTGATGCTTCTTCGATAAATGTTCTTTCTCCTGATAATGGACTTGTTGATAAAGTGTTCTTCGTTTGACTTGTCTTCATTTTCTGTTAAAAATAAGGATAAATATGGAAAAAAATAACTTTTATTATATGTAACGATAGTTGACTATGTAAGACGGTTAAGAAAAAAATTGAGATATCAAAAAAACTTGTTCTTAAAATTTATGATTTTAAACATGTCAAGACATAAGTATGTATATATATATATATATATATATATGCATCTTTTAAGTGCATGAATTCTCGATTCTTGAAAACAAATATTTAATGGGTTTTGGATTCTCGTAATAACTTTAAAAAAATGGGAATATCTCTTTTTTCTGAAGTTATATGAACGAACGGTTTGACACGTTGAAAATTACATTGATTGACTTTGTTCACTAGGTTATAGATGAATTATTTAATACACAGTAACCTAATCTTTTAAATACAAAATAAAAATAATGTTTGAATCAAAATTATTAAATTCTATTGAACTCGTAAAAATATCTGATTTCTATTGCGCAAACAACTATTTAAGTTGATTCTTCATTTGAAAATAGAGTCGAAATTATTTATGTATGATATATTAGCTATCTGTATGACTATTTATGTAAAGACTTTTTCAAAATATCGAAATATGTCATTCTTTTTCTAAGTAAAACATTAGAAAAAAAATGGTAAATGAGATAAGAGGACTAACTTGCAAGTCACCAGTGCTGCAAACTCTTCTCATTTGTCCAGAAGAAAAGCTGTTTTCAGGTGAGCTAATTGCTGCTGATGTTTGAAAATTTGTAGATTCAATTAAACTATCAAAGTTTGGTGTAAAAATAGAGAAACTTTGTTTCTCATTATTATTATTATTATTATCAAAACAATTGCTACTAAAACTCCTTTGCATCAATTTCACATCATTTTGAAAAGCACCAAAATGATCAGATTCAAATTGGACTTGAACTGGAAATTCCTCTGCTTTAACAGAGTAATCACCAAATTCAAAATTTGGATTTACAATTGGATAAAGTGAAAGATTCTCAAATTGATGACTTGGAGGTGAAGATGATAGAAGTGTTGAAGTGATTTGATCAAATGAAGTCGCTTCATCAATTTTGTTTTCAGGGAGTTCTTGTATCAAATAGTTGGTGGGCATGGTGAAACTGTTGTTTTCTTGAAAAATTGAGTTGTCAATGAAAGAGGGAGAAAAAGGGTCAGTGAAAAAGTTGTCAAATACAAAAAGTTCAGAAGACATTGAGGAAATTGAAGTGAATTTTTTTTCTTTCTTCTTCTTAAAACGGAAAAAATGAGTGATGATTAGTTTATTCAGAATTTTCAAAGAAAGAAGACAAGAAACTCATTTTTTCTCTGATTTTGTTTTGGTACTTATTGAGATATAGGAGGAAAAAGTTTTGTGCTTACTATTGCTTTTGTTTTTGTCTGCAACTAACTGTGGAGAAAGAAAGACAATTTAAATTTGGAGTGTTGTTTCTCTGTGGAAGCAACAACAAAAATAGACGAGGAGAGAAGACTAGTCCACTTCCATTATATAAAGGAGGAGACTTAACAATCAAGTCCTTTTCATCCTTTTTTTTTAAATGTGGTTAAAAGTTTTTTTGTTGCGACCTGATTTATAGGTTATGAGTTTGAGTCGTGAAAATAGTCGGATAGATTGGTATGCTTTTTGAACTGTGATTCTTTTTCAAGTCATGAAAATAATCATTAATGTTTAGAATAAGTAGACTATTTGTGTCATGCTTTTTGAAGTACAATCCTTTCTCGAGTCGTGGAAATAATTATTTATGCTGACATAGGTACAGGCGGTCTATATAATGCTTCTTGAAGTGATAGACTCTTTATAGAAAAAAAAAATATACATTCGAAATATCGTAAATAGTATGCAGTACTTTTCTTCATACTTTTGGGGTATTCGCGTTCCTGTTATTAAAAAATTAGAGTGTATATAACCTTTATATTAACGGACATACATCTTTCATAATCTTATCTACCGACCGACATTTATTTCACCGAATAAATTGTATCACGTATTCCTATTTAGTCTTCCGTTAAAGTGAAGGACATATATGCTCTAGTTTTTGAATTACAGATGAACTAATGAATATGACAGAGTATCTACATACTATTTACAATAATTAAGAGATATAGTTATCATTTTCCCCTTTAATCATGCTTCTTGAAGTGCAATCCTTTCGCAGGCTATGAAAACAATCATTAATATTAAGATATAATAAACGGTCTATATCATACTTTTTGAAGGAGTAAAACTTATCCGCGTCGAGAGTTTACATCAAGTCAATACATGCATGTCATATTTTAATTCATAGTTCATTTTACTCTATTAAATCAAATACTAGTGGAGATTGCATTAATTTGGTGTAAACACCCGGTACGAATAAGTTTTTTCATTCTTGAAGTGTTATTCTTCCTCGAATCATGAAAACAATCATTAATACTTACCTAAGATAGATTGTTTATATCATACTTTTTGAACGGTTACTCTTTCTCGAACTATTAATATGAGATATTTTGTGCACGAATAAATTGTCTGTTTTTTATTTAAAGAGTTTTCCAAATATTTTTATCATCTGTTTTCCATTTCATTTGAAAGTAGACTATCAAGTACTACTATTGCCTTGATATTGTTTTTGTTTATTTTTGGTAGAATAAATTGAATTTTTCACTAAATTTCATCTACATTTATGAACTTCTAAGAACTTAAATCTATAATGTGTTCAATTTTTTTTATTTTTTTTTATGCGTGGGGATTGACAAAATCTGACTATGGATTGAATTTCTGTTTAACGAAACTTATTTCAGTCCATTAAATTTTTTTGCGTACAAAATTCAATTTCTCAACGGAAAAAATGGAGGATAAAACATACAGTGAAGGATGAAATGAGTTTTTCAAATTCTATTGGTTAATGAATTTTCTGTTCTTATAAAACACCAAATTCGATAATTCAATTGAATTTTTTGGCTCTGGGAACTTAACGTTTCGTCTTCGTCTTTGTTGACGACGAAGATAGAAGATTTCATATACATTGTATCTAAAAGTTTTATTGAAAGAAAAAATGTCACAAGCCCACCTTAATAAGGCGGAAAATCGTAAATTTTTTCAAAATCTATGGCGTACAGATCTCATGAGCACCCTTAAAGCTGATCCACCATGTAAAATTTCTCTAATACGGAGAATGTTTGCTCAGACTCTTCAAAAATATTGTTTGCACCCGTCTCACTGCAGTGGTGAAATTAGGAATTTCGCTAAGCATGTTCAATACTTTCGTAATAAAAAGTTGTTTTTGATTTGTATATACACGGTGTTGTTTTTCGATGAAGGGTGTTTGAGTGACTATCCTTAGGGTCAATGTCACTGGTCGTTTGATATTTTTGAAGAGTCTGAGCAACTCGTGATTCTTTTTGAAATAAGAATATAAAGAGTAATGTGTTTGTCTTTCTAATTGTTATTCATGTTTTGGTTTTGCAGTTTGGTGTTTCGCGCTGTGGTGGTGAGTTGATTTGCTCTTTATTTGTGTTTGTTTCATGAGTTTGACTACTATATGTATATATGTTTGTGTTAAAGGGGTTCATCGTCTTGCTGAACGATTTCATAATTCAATCGGTACATAAATGTGCATATGTTTATGGTATGATTTTGCGTACATTCTATACCCTACTCGTGAGGTTTTACTGGATATGTTGTTGTTCTTAGTTCGTATCACAGCAAATATTGAAGAACAGAATCCTCTGCTGAAACTTAGTGTCGTAGCAGATATTGAAGAACTAATACTCTTTCACTGCTTATTGTGTACTCCTGCATCTTGATTACGCTTTTACTCATATTTTGTCATCTAATAAATATAATTAGTGGATTAACTAATAGGACGCGACAAGATTAGCTGATAGCTAAAACGATGTAGCATTTTTCATAAAGAGAACAGAATTGACAGAAACGTCGATTCATGAGGATTCCTGTTCTACTGATCTAGTAGCTATATATATAATGTCTTCTCTGATCTCATCGACTGCAGTGGACCATGTTCATCGTATGTGCTAAGGAAACGAGCTTTATATGGCGATATGACAAGGTAATATACTTTCTTTTTTTCTTCACTATCGCGTTAATTACTGCCTTTCTCATGAACAAACTTCTGTTTTCGACAGGTATAAGTGCTGCGCTGGTTATATGCCTTGCAGTGGTAAATGTGGTGAAAGTCGTTGCCCTGAATTTTGCCTTGTAACTGAGGTCAGCAAATACATAAATCGGGAATAAGTTGCATCGTTGTATAACAATATTCTGATGTGTAATTCTGATCTATTGACTTTCGCGACTAGGTCTGTTGTTGCTTTGGAAATTCAGTGAGCTCAACTCGCTTCTTGTTGCAAGATGAATTCAACATCAGAACAACAAAATGTGATAATTGCATTATCGTAAGCTCTCTCTCTGTCGCTGTCTCTCCAAGTCTTCCTCATTTGTTAGCTCGCGTAGTTCAAGTATATGCAATTTGATCATCAAAACATGTTTTCTATCCTAATTCCTACTAGGGTTTCATGATAGTACTCGGACAACTTGCTTGCCTATGTAGAATCGCGGCTTGTCTTACTGGAGATGAAGGACTTCAAGATGCTGCTCATATTTTGACATGTCTCTCTGATATGGTCTACTATTCGTAAGCTTCTATATTCCTTAGCATTATATCATCTACGAAAACAATTGTACTAAATTTGCTGCACATTTGATTGCAGGGTCTGTGCCTGTATGCAGGTAAGTTGATTGTGTGTCCCAATTTTTGTTTGCTTTCTAGTTATAGTTAAGTTGCTCTGATCGTGAGGGTTATATGTAGCAACATGATCATCATCTTTATTTGCTCATTTATCGTTTTGAATAGTACTATTGTTGAGATTGTAGACGCAACACAAAGTTGAATTGGATAAAAGAGATGGCAAGTTTGGTGATCCTTCACCTATGTCAATACCACCTGTTCAGCAGATGTCGCGGATTCATCAGCCTTATGGGCCAGCAGTAGGATATCCTCCGGCCTATGGGGCACCTTATGGTCAACCACTGCCTCCTCATCAAGGTTATCCAGCATCAGCACCGCCACTACCATCATCTCAACCTCCTGGCTTCCCACCGCCCTCAGACTCAGCTTATCCTCCTCCTGGTCCCGGAGGTTATCCACCACCCTCGGCCTCAGGTTATCCTCCTCCCGCACCTTATCCACCACAACAACAACCTGGTTTCTGGAGGTGATGATTTTGAAGATTTATATTTATGTCGTTTCACATTAAATGAAGCGCAAAATGAGGAACACAAATTGAATGGCAACCATATTTTTTCTACTTGGACTGAGATCTATATATGTAGATTTCCTTGTCACATGAAAATATATATAGTAGGCTTTTTTGTGATTATTTAACAGAACATATTTATGCATTGTAGAGCTGAGTTATTTTTTGGTGTTTGAATTTGTGACATGTGATGTGCTAATAGAAATGGAAAACATTCATTTTGATTGTTGTTTACTAGCTAAGCTTATAAGTGCATGTTTTTTGTTTTTGTTTGTATGCTTTATTTAGTATGTGGTGAGGAGAGTGTTAGAGCAACAATGAAATTCTACGAAAGATATAGCCTGACCTCTTCCTTTCGATTTTAGAAAGTGAAAGTCCTTATCGATGTGACAGAATGAGTAGACTGTGCTCTTCCTTTCTGTATCCTATAGGTCACTGGATCGATCGGTATTGGTAAATGCCTCATGAACATTCAAGAGTTTAGTGGCACTTGTGGTTCAAAAAATGGTCCGAAAAGGTATTTTTGATATTCAAAACAAATGAAGGATAAAATACAAGTTATTTTTAACGATGCAAAAATATTTTAACATTTTCTCATTTAATCAACAAGGAATTATTAACGTATAAAGTTAATTAGAGTAAGACGTATATATCTAAAATCATTTTCTTAGTGTGGACGCAATATTTTCAATTCAAAACTATACATTATAGTAAAACATTTATAAGAAAGAAGATTACATAGTTTATTACTTCTTTACATTAAATTCACATGTTAATCAGAAATACGTAATGGGCATAGCACCTTGTTAAATATTCCATAATTCACTAATGATTGATCATTATACATTTGAACAATAAACAAAATTGGTGAAGATTAAAAAAAAGTAAACTCCACTCACCTGAAATTTAAAAAGAAAAAAGAGAAAAAGACAAAATAATACTACAAATATTATAGTACTAATAAACTGCTGACTGTGACTATAAATCTTTGACTTTGCATCGATACATAAATCAATAAAAAAATCTAATTGAGACGATATAATAATTATTGATATAGTGATTATTAAATAAATTAATATTATTTTTAGCTCAACTGTTTAAATAAGAGAATAACTCATGATATGATTATTAAATTTAAAACAGATTAAAAAATAAAAATTATTTCAAATAATTATCTAGCGTAAAATTAATTTTTAATTAATCGATAAAATTAATAGTAAGAAGTTACGTGTACTTTAGCAACATGAATCATTGTGTGTTAGTTGTAATAATTTTTCTCTTTTGGAATATATTTTTTAAAAAAAAGGTATACTACAGTCTAAAGTGAAGCGTGGGCGGCTATCCTATTTATTTCATTTTTTCATCTTTTAATCTACTTTTTCGAGGAAAAAAAATAAAAAATCATTTTGATTTGTTTCATATATTTTCTTCATTTCGTATTTTGATATTAAATTTAATTTGATTTACCATTATATATGTTAAAGCAAGAGATTTTTCGAGCCTTAAAAGATATAAAAATTTAAAATTTGTTTCTTGAAAAATACGATTAAAATTATGAAAATATAATTCGTTCAAATCTTAGTGAATGTTTTATTTTTTTTAGCAATTTTTTTAATTATAAATGAAAATCATTTTTTATAAACTCTATTTTTGTAACTCTTACTCCAATATATTAATATAATCAACCTTTTATGTACATAATTCGTTTTTTTTAATAAAAAAAGTACATACCAAAACATTATCCAATTTAATATTATTATTTATTAATGGAAATAAAA